GAATGACAAGGACACATCGAAACCAGTCGCTAGACATTTTAATTTACCTAATCATTCTAAGCAACATATGGCAATCTGCGGTCTTTCCTTACACTTAGGTAGCACGGAAAGCCGTAAAACTCTTGAACAAAAGCTCATCTTTCAAACCGGCAGTCTAAATCCCACAGGGATCAACGAACGCTTTTCATTCCACTAATTTATTCGTGTTTTTCTCGTTGCCATGTTCCCACCAATAACGTAGCTCCATTTTCTGCCTTTAAAAGCACACACAACCCACAATTCCTCTATTCGCTCCGACGAAGGGCTAACGCTCGAAACGTCAGCTTTTGTAATCGTTACGGTGGCCAATTTACCATTTCAACTTTGTTGATATATCCAAATTATTTCGTTACCCCCACCGACGCAGCCCCAAACAGTTTCTTTAGAAACTATCATCCTCTATCGCAGTCAGGCCGATATATTTTGTATCGAAACACCATCTTCTCTCTTCGGTAGCATATCCATTCCGGGCACAGGAGACCCATGTTTGAGCTTGCAGCTGTCAGACCACCTCACTGGCCGTCATTAGATATACACCAGAGACCTGGTGACGAGTTGAACTGCAGCCAACAGTCTGGTAAGATAATACGCCAGTCACGTGATGAGAGTTAAACTTGTTGAGCAAGTTTGAAACTAAATAACACGTATTTTTCTTCGTCTTCTTTTTCCTGTCAGATTTTACTGAGCTTTCTTACGAGTCCGATGACACAAAGGAATTTGATACAGATGGGGAATATGAAATTCTGTAAATCTGCGAACTTCATTTGAGTATGCAGTGGAACGAGGTTTCTTCTTTACAGACGGAGTACGCAATAAAACGAGTGTCATTTGATAAAACGCGTTCTATTGCTACAAAAATAAAATGACAACATATCTGAACTTACATACGCATCGTAACAGTTTTTGAATTTCTTTTCTTTGTGTGACATTTCCTTGTCAAAAACTATGATAGTAAAACACCCATTAGAGAATCAGATAAAACAGAGTGTACTGAACATCGAAAGGTGACCAGGTACGGAGGAGTGTCTTCTTTCAAATAATACCTCACAAACAGTTCCGAGGTATCTTGAAAAAGTGATAATGGTAATAATATATATCAGGACAAAAAATTCCACTTGTAATTGCATAACACTGACACACACGATTCGGTGTAGACTTTATAACAGTCCAGTTTTTTTCTCTTTTTGTCTCAGTTATATTACTTATCAATTTATGGCAGTTACAGCTGCCCCTGACCCTCAAAACGATTGGGAAGGGCCCATTTCCGACTGTTTGTTTTTAAAATGATACAGTTATTAAAAAGTGTTGGGTGAAATTTTTGGTCATACGACAAAGGTAGAGGAAAACAAATCAGATTAAGAGAAATTTAATGTATTTCTATAATTGTAAGAGTTGAACATATTTGAAGATGGCGTTGTTTCCTTATCAAAGAATAACACACGTATATGGACATGGAAATTTATTTTTAATGTATAATTCTAAATAAAATTTCACGAAATTTTTCAGTGTTACTTTTGGTTGCATGTTGTTCTTTTTTTAACTGGAACCCAGACCTCTTTCAGAGATTCAAAACTCTCTTCTACTGCGTCTTTCGAGTCGAGCTTGTCCAAGGATCCCTCTCGGTGAATAGCCGACGTGTAGCCGTACCCTCTCCTCGAGGAGAAACGCAAGGGAACTTTTCCTTGGAGGTGGGGAGGATACGGCTACACGTGGGCTACACATTGAACATGTGATTAGCGAACATAAAATGTTGGATAACACTCTAAATCACGTAGTGGCGCATTTCTGTCACTTGAAGCAGCGCTAAAGCTGTAAAAAGGAAATTATTTCAGCTTTAGGAATTTTAAATAAATTTTCGCAGCCTATATCTAATCCTTCATGAGAACCCGAAGTCATCTGGTCACAGTAACGACCATTTTCCGAGCCCACGCTGGGATAAAATAACTGATGTCTGTAATACGTGATATAAATGTTCTCGGCGTCAAATAAATTCGACAGTTTGACCGTAACCCTGATTCTCTAGATAGAAGAAGAAGCTTGTCAGAAAACAGCTTTTCCACTTACTTTTGAGATTATGTACCAAAAAGATAGCGGAACTGAACACTGTCAAATTTTCTACCAATTGTAGACGATTCTTATTTTGTAAGAACTGCGCATCAATGCCGCTTTTATTTTTATGAACATCAAATACCGATGCGAGGTGTGAAGAGGAATTCGGTCGATAACAATTTTTTGTTTTTCCGGTTGAAAACCTCAACAGTATCTAAAGGAAAAGAAGTCTGATACTTTTCCTCCATTTTTAAGAAAGATAGTACAGTCAGGGACCATTTTCGTTTATGTCATCGATGCGTTACCGCTTTCAATGCTCTCCTGTTCAGTTCCATATGTTTTAGAGACGAAACATTCCAACGCGAAATCAAATGGACATTAACTTCCCATAAAAGATTAAGGACTAAGTAAAACTACTATTTCAGCATATCTACTTCAAATGCGCGGTGCCGAAATTCTTTTTTGAGTGAAAATGTCGTAAGTTTAATCGCACGCACGACAAGTCCGGACGACACAAATTAACAGACTCCGCGGTAGGATATCAAGTTGATTATTCCCGTTATCGTGGATGATCTTATTTTCAAGAGGAAAAGGTCGCATTCGGGGCAGTGTGCTTTAATCTCTGTCAGGCTACAAACAAGGTTAACATCACTGGTGGGATCTGAGAGGACTTTGTTTTTATTTGAACACAATCCAAACAGTAGCAGTAGATTGGAAAATACGACTAGGTATTTGAATTGTTGTTCAAAGAATTTGAGCCTGCGGAAATTACTTCGATATCTTTAGATCTGTGATTTTGATGGCAACGTTTTTCTCACTCGGTTGACAGCCAAGCTATGAAACAAAACAGTCTACACGGTGACTGGATTTTGGTGGATGGAAGCTTTCGTCATCAGCATCGAGAAGTTTTAATACCAATGCGTTAGAATTTAGCGGAATTGGAGAGTTTGATTGAAATATGATGGAAAAAAAGGAGACGCAAAAAAACGTTTCACGCGCGGAGCATAAGAAAACAAAGACCGGAAACGTTCAACTCGCCGGAAGTTGATTCAAAGCAATTACCATCAATAATACCTGGAAAATTCACACCCGACTGCAACAGTTTATAATTCTATAGAGGTGTCCTTCATACGACTTCCCCTAATTGAGCAAAACAATAAGAGACTCACAAGTTTAATCAAACAATATTAGTAGGATAAGCCCTTTTTACTGAGACCGAATCAAGCTCGGAAGAGATTAAGCGAGCGTTTCTTGTTAAAATCATGCAAATATGGAAGGGACAAGTTTTGTTTTCGGCCTGGTTATCATGTGTTTGACACGGTCCGGATATTTCAACAAGTTGCTTCGGAAGCTATATTACATAGCCCCCAGGGAATAAAAGAATTAATATGGCACACAAAGTTAAGGTTCAAGAAGCATTTGCTGGTGATCCTATTGCTCTTAAGCGGTAATGTTTTGATTCATTCTTGTTTTATCAGATCTTAAATCGATCATATGTGTGGAAACCATAAGCTAGTCATTACCACGCCTTAATGTAATGGTTCAAGATTAGTGCCGCATATAATGCAACAAGATCGCTGATTGGTCGAGTCTATTGTAGCGCTGTCAGTCGATACAATCGCCAGCCAATGGCAGATAAACATCAATTTACCCCCAACGGCTTCATGTGTATAGCGAGTAGTTTTCATTGCTGGGTCGTGTGAAGAAGTCAACAGTCTTAGTTGAGTGCAGATTTGGAAAGTTTTTTCTTACTCGTGCCAATCACGCGGTTGAGAAAAAATGGAAGCAGGACCGCTAACGCGAAATTATCCGAGTATTTATGAATGTTTGACGAGCCATAGTCCCTCCATACCTCCGTTTAGCCTTCAGAGATCTGTTATTCCTGATAACGTAGAAATTACTCAAGACCCGAGCCATGGTTTTGCGTACGCTGAGTCTCCCGTGCATTTGCCAGGCTTGAGGACGGGCGCGCACGATTTTCTCCACACTCTATCAGGGGGTAGCGCTCAAGGGGCATTTAACCTGCAGACCAATTATCCTGTCCCAGCGGCGTATTCGACGTTGGCTGCCCGTGGAAGAGAGTTCCTGCTACGCCGTGAACACGCAGTAACGCTTCCCTCGGTATCGTTACCAACTCACACCATCTCTGCGGACGTGACAGCTTCGTCGGCGAGTCTTGTTGTTCCACCACCGCCCCCTTCTGCGTTTCAACAAACGGTCTTCACAACAAGCAACACCGCGCTCCATGCCATAAATATCCCGAGTTTTTCCAGCACCACGGCTCCTCCGCTGCCGGCACAAACGTTCGCACAAAATGCGCAACACGCCACCAGTTTCACCAACTCAAGTCTCACGTGCGTTCAAGCGTCACCAGCATCTGAGAACAGTAATAGCAGCGGCGATTCGTCAACAGAGACCTCTCGTGTAACGGTAAATATCGGTGACCCTCAAGGAAGTATTGCATTGCCTCGTCCAAGCCCGCTCAATGCAAGGAAAGCTACTTTCGTTCCCTCACCCACGAACGTTGTGCCGTCCATGGAACTCTCATCAAACGGCGCGTTCTTCCGTTATATAAGACCTCAGGAAAAGCAGGAGTTTGTTTGCAGATGGACTCTTTTACGGAACAAAATATCTGTTCCTTGCGATAAGAATTATCCGTCTATTCAAGATCTAGTAAAACATCTTTCTTTGGAACACGTTGGAGGGAGTGAAGGAAATTCCTCCCACGTTTGCTTATGGAGCGATTGTCACAGGCAAGGCAAGCCGTTCAAAGCCAAATACAAGCTTATCAACCACATTCGCGTCCACACTGGAGAGAAGCCATTTTCGTGCCCTTTCGTAAACTGCGGTAAAACGTTTGCCCGCTCAGAAAATCTCAAAATTCATAAGCGTACCCACACTGGGGAGAAACCGTTCGTGTGTGAATTTCCTGGATGCAATCGTCGCTTTGCCAACTCAAGCGATCGGAAAAAGCATTCGCACGTTCACACTGCTGACAAACCGTACCTTTGCAGAGCGCCGGGATGTGGAAAAAGCTACACACACCCCAGTTCTCTGAGAAAGCATTTAAAGATGCACTTTAAGGCTACTAATGGAGACCTTTCATTGGACAATAACGACAACATGGCGTTCATCTCACAGGCGGAACTACAATTGAACAATGGTAACACTTCTAGAAATATTCAGCCATGGCTTGCTCTGTCTCAGCAATCACCGAAAAATTCCTTTGTATCGAGTGTGAAAATAGAACCCTCGCGCTAAATTTAATAGTGCCGACAAATCTGGTCACAAGACCTTGTTAGAAAACGGTAGAGAGCCAGTCCTGTTCTCACAACTCTTTCTCAACTAAAAGACTGAAACTCTTCTGAAGCGCAATGAGATACGAGATAAAATGTAACGGTTTTTACATGAACGGAAATCGTTTGTTTTACTTCGACCACTATTTAAAAGTAAGGTAGAAATCTAAGATGTTAATTCTTATTTCTAAGGAAAATCTAGCACGAGTAGTTTCGTTTTCAATTCTCGCACACAACTCGCCGCGACTGTACAAGTTCAAATGAGGCCGGCTCGAGTTGTCCTTTGTTAATTCAAATCACGTTTACTGTAAATTCCTACGCCTAATTTGTGTGAAATCTTATTTACAAAGAAAAAAAAAAACAGTATCTTTTGTCTACGGTAAGAATGTTTTAAAGAATAATACAAATGTTCAATTTCAAGGAAGGAAAGTAATTTATTTTTCAATTTATTTTTTCAGGCTCCTATCCAAGCTTGTAAAACACAATACAAATAAAGATAGTGATGAGGGATGTATCCTGTGTCTGTGAATTTTATAACGATGTTTGTCTTAAGGACCAGTTACTGAGTAACCTGGGGTGGGACGGAAGTACGTGTCGACACTCAACAACATATTAGCTGAGTTATATTCGGACCTTACTTTGGGGGGTACAACCCACGGGACATCCTTATGATTCTCATCTTCAGGAAGACTGACTTAAACAAACGCGATTTGCGAGATGGATTTATTATCTATAGGGCCAGGTTCAAGTTTCTGAGATAAAAAAAAGTGTGGACTTAAACTCGTAGATCATTGACATATCACACGTACGCCAAACTAATGACAGCTACAGTACTAAGATGGCGACAAAACTTGATCTGTGATAGCTTACATTTTAACAGTTTTTTTTTTTTCGGTGAATAAAATGTGCACACGAAGAGTTGGCCAGTTTTGAGGCCTTGATCAAGTGTAACTGCTCAAGCCAGCTGTTGGCTAGACTCCTTAAATAGTTTAACTGGTTCCTTTGCAGTTTTGCTGTGAACCTAAATTGCATTATTGCCATAATTTGCTGCGCTCGTTTTAAGAACATAAAATGCTGCTTCCCCCCAACTGCGGGTCAAGATGTGGTTTGTTCAGTTCTTCCGTGTGTTTTGACTGCGTCTTTAAATCACTTTTCAAACAGGCCACCAAAGGATTGACGCGTGGCAAACCCAAATTCATTTCAACTTTACTATTTGTGAGCACCGCCTGAGTATTTCAGTTCGATAATGACTACAAGCCGCTTAATATTAATGGCCAACAGAACACATGATCGTCGTTGAACTAAGATCATGTGTTCCATTAGATTAACATATGAAGATGCGGTGACCTATTTAGTCTTATTTGATCAGCATAATGGTCAATGGTGTTTATTTGTCCTTTCACTCTTGAAAACAATCCCCACTTCTAAAGCAATCTATCCGTAAAGGAAACGTGCTGGTACAACTTAAACAAACAAGTTTGCGGGACAAACATCTTTTTGTTTTGATAAAAAAAATTGTTTCACGAAAATACTCTTCTTGCTCACATTTATCGAGAAAAAAATTTATTATTTGTACCACGATGTCACGTTTTTTTCCGCCCGGAACATAAATAAAATTGTTAGTTTTTAAATAATTTTCCGCTTTGGTCCCAAACATTTGAAGACGCTATATCTCTGCTATCAGAATGTTTCGTGATTACCTCACACGAACTGTCCAAGTGCACGAGTATTTTCACACATTCTTTCAAATGTTTGGTCTGTCTGAATCCAATTGACGCCAAATCGTGCCCCAGTCTGTCAGGAGGGCGGCACAAGTTATACGCAGAGCATATTTTTTTTTTATCGCACTCATCGTTGGTAGTGAATTTCATTCTTTCGACAAGATTTATCAGGATGAAATTGTTAGAAAGACGTGCGATGCTCTTGACATGTAGTAAATCTTACAGATAGCATTTGGCTGATCTCGACTTTTTGGAAAAACACAGATGTACTGTAATTGGTTAGGAGTTCAATAATTCGAATAACGATCTTCAAATAGCTGTTATCATACTCAAGAAAAAAAAAAGAGAGAGAGAGAAAAGTTTGATGATCATCTTACAATTCTCTGGTTAAAAATTCCTGATAACATAAGCTTTCGGCTTCCACAGAGCCTTCAAGAAGCTTGAATACAATGGCACGTGATGGAAAATACATATGGGGGTCGAGAGCGCGACAGCGTGAAAAACTAGAATTCAAACGGTGAAATAGCGAGAGAAAACTGTTCTAAAAACGATTTGGAGTAGATGCCTAATGCGTGACGTTATTGCGTAACATCGTTTTTCCCAAGTGCACCCAAGACCATTCCTTAATATAATTCAAATACAATCAAAATTCTGCCGACGGAAAAAAGGAAATAGTTACAAAATCACAATTCATCTGCTAAAGGCATCCTGACAATTTGAGTGAATTGAGCGGAGGAACTCCGACTAGGGTTAAGTTTTTCACGTTTCTCTTGTAGAAAGTGTGACTAGCAGGTTGACCGAATTTATCGATGACGAGCAGAGTTCCTTTTTAACCATTTGACCCCCTGGAGTGACTAGGATCTAATTTCCTCATATAATGTCGCCCCTGAATCAAACCGATCAACGCCACGAGAGTAAAGGAAATGATCACCAATTAACGAAGTTCTTGTAAATAGAATAAGAAAGACAGTAAGTTTTGAGCTCGGTAAAGAAATAGAGAAAGATAAAACAAATGGGATAACTTTTTGAGGCTAAATATCGAAGTTTTCGAGGCTCCTATCCGTTCTATACACGGTATTCCTCACTCAATTTATTCACGATAATTCATTGTTTTCATATGAAGCTGGCTCCCCTTGAACAAACCAAGGGGATCTACCACAGATCATCTTATCTAAGTTCGTCCTTAAAGTCGTTTCCTCCCCAATTTCTTCAAGATAACAATGATATAAATTATAGCTGCAACCAATCAGCTTTCGTCTGTCCAAAGGCGTTTCAGTGGTGCCTTGCTGAATTTTTCTTCAAGTTTGAGAAGAGTGTTCCGTATCTCTTCGTGAATTTCACTTTTGTCTTTCATAGCGTCTAGGACCTTTGCATAGCAAAAAACGGAAAAACCAAACACAAGATTAATTACTTCCCTGCCTCTTGGAAGCAGAAAAGGGTTGAGAGTATCTACTCATATATAGAGACAGAATCACCACGTGCAGAGCCTTTCAATCAAGGTTTTTTTTTTATCATCGTTTGTATGGTCAAAACAAACTCAATCAAAACCTCACTATTCTTACGAACTTTCTACCTCTGAGTCATTATACATTTAAGCGCCACTGGGCTCTAAAGTCTTGATCAGATTTGGAGGCGGCGTGGCCGAGTGGCTAGGGTGCTGGACTTGTAATCCGGTGTCCTGGGTTCAAGTCCTCCACCCTGCAACTCACTGGATTTGTTCTCAGTTGTCCCCAGTTCAACTCCTCGGCTGCGCTCTGTAAATAGCCCACTGGTCTGCCTCCTGCCAGCGGAGATTTTCAAGCACTTTATGTATTTCAATATAGTCTCAGCTCGAAGATATTAGCTCGTTAGCTACTCTAAAATCTGTGCACAAATAAAGTTTACGTATGTATGTATGTAGATCGTCTCAGAGTGCCGGGCAAGTCCATACAAAAATCTCCCCAGGGAAAAAAAATTTTCTAGTTGCAGTTCTAAATGTCATTTATGAAGACCCACAATTGGTGACAAAATTGTGGACACATTAATCTTTTCAACCCTCTATTACTTCAATTTTATCTCTTTTCCTCTATGAAGTTAACCATTTAGCCCTGTCCCCCCAAAACAATGTTGTATCATGATTCCATGAACTTTTGGCCAACATTGAATTGGGGAGGGGTCCTTTAATGATTTAGTTTGTGGTAGAAATAGGACTGCTTTTCTTCACATAAATAGACTTAAAACATGATGTTTCAACTAATTTTGGTGCTGCTTGTGAGTAGTAAGGATTGTTTTTTTTTTTTTTTGGAAAAAGTGCAAATGAGGGATTTGAAGGAAGTGTTTAAAGGAGGTCCAGGAGAACCTCAATAAAATTTTATTGTCTCGTAGAAAAAAAAAATTCATGTACTATTAAACATTGCAAAATATGCCCCATAAGTGTTAAAATGGAGCTAGCTTAACCCTGTATATAACTAACTTGAGCATTCAGTTGGTCAGGGGGGGTGTGGGACCAGAAGATTTAAGCTTAGTTCAATTGATAGGCTAATATATATATCTTATTAACCAAGTGCGAGGGCCGTATTGGGAGAATATTGGCCCGAGGTCTTGACAGTACGGACTGAGCGCAGTGAGATCTGCACAAAAAAGACCTAGGGCCGATATTCTTCCAGTACGGTCCCAAGCAAGCTTGGTTAATAAGAGATTTATTATACAACTGAAGTTCAAAGGGACACAAGTGCGGTATCATTCGGGACCATTTGGGACAATGCCTGGTCCAATACTGAGAGAATATTGACCGGCAATAGAGCATTTTAATTCATTGATTTTAGTTATTGGCCCTCTGACTGCCCGAGTCGTGTAATATAACTTCTTTGTCTCATTTTTGTAACAACTGAACTATCCATATTATTAGAACTTAGTGGTATTTACCTTCCAGTCCTTAGTTTTAAGTTGTTTATAGACCTCAGCAACACGTTCTTGGAATTCAATCTTCTCATATCTTTCCTCCCCATAAGATCCTCTAGTTTGTGCATCTTTTGTTGAGATGTCCAAATAGAATATTAAATCGGGATCTGGCAAGCCCCGATCAGGATTCTTACACCATGTCACATTATAACCCTACCAAAGCAAACAGATCTTAGTCTTTCTGAAGCTATGAGCAGAAAATTGATAAAAGAGAGAGTTTATCTGAATTGTAGAGTACAAAAAAAGTTTAAATTTACAAAATATATAAGGAAAAGTAGCAGGTATTTTGCAATATTCACCCACCTTAGCTGCAGTGAAAGCAACTCCTGAAAAAGCATAACGATCCACAACTACAAAGGTTCCATTGTCTAATAGCTTCTTTATTCTTGGTCTCAAATGGAAATAATTATCAAAAAAATATTTTAATGAATACAAATAAACAACATAAAATCATGTATGTGCGCGATCCTTCGCAGTAAAGCACTATTTAAGCAATAGTGAAAATCAGACCTGAAAAAAATTCAGGCCTGTACAGGATTACTAGTGCACTGCACTAGTATCGCAGAGGTCAGTGGTTCGAATCCTGTACAGGCCTGAATTTTTTTTTTTTTTTTTTCAGGTCTGATTTTCACTATTGCTTAAATAGTGCTTTACTGCGAAGGATCGTGCACATATACGTTTCATAACCGCAGTTCATATATATGTATTTCATATGTTTGTTGTTTGATTTATCATCTACGGGTTTATGTCGAATTAATTTGATGGCCTGCTCCCAGTTGGCTTGTTAGCTCAATTGGTAGAGCGCTGCACTAGTATCGCAGAGGTCAGTGGTTCGAATCCCGTACAGGCCTGAA